AGAGAGTTGCAGCAACGATGCCACTAATGCTCCGAAGACGAGAAGGGGGTCTGGCAGGCCGAAAACACTACGAATTCCTTCAAGAGGAGATCATCCGGTAAGATTTGGTTGTAAATATTGCTAGAATAGGTTACTAAAATTCAAGATGACGCTCCTGACAATTATTGACATTCAGGGTACATATGAGCCAAGAGGAGCTAGGAAAAAATGCGGCACTTGTGGGCAGGAAGGGCACAACCGAACAAGCTGCAAAACTCCAATATAGGTTTTCGGGACTTCTTAGTATCCACTAGTTTAATTAACTTTTTGTATAATTTAGAAACGTGACCATTACTAGGTGCGTTGAGAACTCTTTTCGGGGACATATATAATTTTTACAACAGACATGTTGTAAAAATAGTATCTTTAGTTCCAAACGATATCCAATATTCTTTTTGAAAACTGATTAATATGGTTTTTTTTATCATATTGTAATTACACAATGTTTGTTATTAAGTAATTAGAAATGAAGGTTGTTTTTAATTATGATCATAACTAATTGATGTTCAGTATGAAGGAAACGGTTATGGGTAAAATTTGGTTACGGAGGTGGACATCAAGTCAGTGGACGTAATTTAATAATTTTGAGGACAACCAGTAGTATGTTTGGCCTCGAAGGGACAATATTAGAGAAGGACTTTATCGATAGCATGTAACATATAAAAAGTTTGAAAGAAGATTCATGTAGAAATAACTAGAAATAATTCGCTGGGAAGAATGAAGTTAGAAAAGGATTGAATCAAATATTGGATCAAATAATATAATTCTTGTAGGACATTATGTCAGTGGACATTGTTTGGTAATTTTGAGGACAACCGAAGTATGACGATGTTGTTTGTTAATTTGGTGGACAAATTGACAGAGTCGCTTTATTGAATGAGGACAATAAGTGATGAGAACTATATAACGAGCATGTAAATAAAAAGAGTTTGAAATAAGATTCGTGTAGAAATAAGTTTGAAATAATACGCTTTGAACAACGAAGTTAGAAAAGGATTAGATGAAATTTAATATGAGATGGATCAAATAATAATCCGGTGGACATCAAGTTTGGCGGACGATATTTGGTAAATCAGTGGACAATATTTTGCTAATTATGACTTTGGTAAGGAGCGCTATATTCTCAACAATAAAATATTAAGACTTGTAAATAAGACTCCATTGGAAATCATAATACGTTTCGAATAAGTGGACAACAACGAAATTAGGGGAGGACTGAATAATAGTAAAAGTTCGAAATGAAGACATGATGACGAGAACTATTGCAGGATGATTTTATCAGAACATTAAAATAGAGAAAAAAAGACAATAAGGGAAGCAAAGATAGTAGTGGCGGCAATGAATAAAGCATGGCGGAGGTTGAAATGGTTGCGTTTGCGAGCCAAGAAATCCGAAGCGTCAGAGATATTTTGTACCTGATCTCTAAGTTCGGATATCTCGCCAAAGATCTCGTAGTATGTGGGGTCATCTATGAGTGAACATCTTATGAACCTGATAGACTCTAACTCTTCAAGAATAGCCTCATCCACCCACTTGAAAATATGACGTCCTCGACCACTCTGCGAAGAACAAAAGAAGACATATAATTTTTAACAGTTAAGGACGAACATACTGTCTTAGATACTGTCCATATATCCATAAGTTAACTGGGACGGTGAATAGAGTTACCTCAGCATTGGGTAGGTAGTAACGTCTACATAAGTGAGGCACTGAGTCGGATGTCTCAATTACAAGATCCATACCACACCAGCACCCAAAAAGAATTCTATTGTTGCAGTAGGAGGCCATGTCCTCCGAATGGATTGATGAAGCCGGGGAAGAGGTGGGGTGACTGTAGCTGTGAAGACCCATTAGGTATGTTATTTTAAGAGATGTGATAGGATTGAGGTAGAGAATAAGATGTTCAAAGTTAAATAGAGTGAAGATGTGGTGTTGTAGTTGGTGAGTAAGAATAGTAGTAAGACAACATGTGGAGAAGCTTTGGAGTTGGGGTCCCATATCCCTAAACTTAAATAAGTGCACATATTACTATGGAGTAGAACTATTGTGAGAAAGCTACTTTATTGGACGACGAGATTCTAAACAGTGTATGTACGAGAACGAGTAATGGTTAACGTGGTTGTGGACGTTTTCCATCCAACCAGTACAATAGTTGTTTTTCCTTATTATACTTGTGGACATCTTCCAATTAACGAGTACAAATAGCAGTTGTTAGAGTAAATAATAGAAAAATGTAAAAGACGGTCACGAGTCCTCTGCAATATCCCTTCTAATTGCTGGTCTCGGGACTGCGGTTTAAAGCGGGAAAGTTGCCGCCAAAAGGCAAATTTTTCTTCAAATTTAGAATACAATGTAGATGGCATACTCACATCCCATTATTAATATAAAAAACTAGTAAGCTGTAGACGTGCATATATGTGTTGGACAAACATAGGACGCAAACTAATACTATGTCGTCCATAATTGAGAATGTCTTTCCTACGATTTCTGTTGATATTAAATAACATACAACTGCCAAATTAATGGGCATCGTTAATATTAGCCATTGAACCTCTATATAACAACAACAAATATAATTTCAGTTTGTAAAGACGGTTGTCTTAAATCATAATATATGGACATCCTTTTTGCACTACCACCACAACTTCAAGTGTCAATTGCCATTTTGGTGGCATGATCAGGCCATACCAATGTCGGCCCACTACTCGTCTCCTGTAAAGCCGGAATGGAATTGGTTTGTACAACTGACGTGCTCCGGGAGGTCTCATTCCGAGGTATCGAGCACCAACCAGGTCTAATAAAGGAGGGGCCAAGCTTACGGCCTTTCCTTGTTCGATGCTGCATGGCGGGAAATGGACATGCAGCGACAATTAATTTACTACAGTCGCAAAACAGTGTCAGCCGAACCTGTGGGTTCGCACTGTTGCTATTATGTTTTGGCATGGACCGTGACAGTGAAGGAAGACAAGCCATGGAGGAGTATAAGGTTACGTGTGGTTCGTTTGACATAGCTGTGAGAGTAGGGAGGCGAACATTCTGGGACATATCTAAAATCGGGCCAACGCGAAGGCTCATCCGTTGTACGACATGGCAACCATTATTGATAGTACCCCCATCAGCTCCGGCTCCGGATTGTGAGGATTACAATACACTAAACTCGTGTGCCACATGTTTGTTTTGGTGGAGGCGACCATGGTGGCCACTAGGGATGTTTCTTCCTCCCAAACGTATGTGAGGTTGCCCAGCATGCCTAAGGCTGCCACCATGTTCAAAATGTTCATATTTTAAACATGGTTGGAACAAAAGTAAGTGGAAGATTGGGAACCCATTAGTTCTTCTTAGATGTCCTCCGAGTTCTTTAATATAATGTAGACTTATTTAGATGTTTGTATTTCTATTATGTAATGTCTTCGTATTGTCCTTCTTCGGAATATTTTTATCTTTGGTGTAACATCTATAATATGTGATATTAACGTCCTTGTTAGAAACTGTCATTCAATTATTTAAGGAAATGTCCTTCAAATAACTATTAGGACGTCCTTTGCAGATGTCCTATTTAAACTGGAATTACACACACAGTGACGTTTTAGAGACAATGAGATCCACGTGTTCTCATATGATTGTAGATAAACAACTACTAGCCGTTTATTATATTAAAGTGTTAAAGGCAAATCCTCATATAAGAAAAAACAACCCACGTGGGTTTGGTTTGACTTTAAAACGGACAAAGTTAAGGAGAAGACAAGACTAACAATTAAAGTTAATTAGCTTTAAATGTAAGCTCCTCCACGTGGTTTGCGTTAGCCTTGTAAACGGAAAAAGTTAAGGAAATTGATGATTTTTTCCAAATTACCCAAAAATTAGGCAGGTAATATATACAGACATACAAGGATGGTAAGTATATGAGTGTCTTCTTGTTTTCTTAGGTTTTTACGTAATCTGATTAGAATGATATATTAATTTGGTAATAAAATATGCACACCGAGTTTGTTTTGTAACTTCGATAGTGTCAATGACGAACTAAATAAGGCCAATAAATAATAGGGTCACTAAATAATATGAAATAATTAAATAGTATAAAAATTAGTCCACCGAGTTTGATTGACACACAAAAAGTAAAACAATATTTTAACCTAGTAGGATATGGGTTAGAAGAAGCGCCGTTTGGGACAAGACAGTTCTGAAACTTACTTTGGTAATAGTAAGGAAAATGATAGTTTTGGGGGTAGCAAATTATAATGGTGGAACTGTACCTAATAAAGTTAAATAAATAGTAGCACTAAATAATATCACTAAATAGTATGAGGGTAATTTTATTTGTTCTTAAATGTTGGTTTGTATATTAATTCAATAAAATAATTTTAGTTATTCTAAACTAGTGTTATTCTTATTTGAATATTGACATTTAGCGATTGAAAATAGTGAAAATAAGTAAAAATGTGATTTGCAAATATGTCCACCAAGGTCGGAAACTAAATC